TTATTGTTCATAGCTACCTTCATTAGGTGTCCCCGATTGAGCTTAAAAACTAGCTTGGTGGACATGAGTCGGGCCATATGACCTAACAAGGATTTGGCTACCCAATTGACTAGGGTTATTGTACAACCTGATAATGTTAGGTTAGGATTGTTAAATATATAGGAGTGAAACTACATGTCATTGACGTAACAAGTGGAATGGTGACTCCAGTGTTCTTAATATATATATATTTTATTTAAATATCGAGGTGAGAGGTGTCCTGGTTAATTTATGTGTATCTCGATTAATTCTCTTCTTGGTCCGATCAAAAGCAAAATATCTATGCTAGGACAAAAAATTCCTCTAAATTTTTAAATTCAGGATATTTAATTTTACTACTCTCTCTATTTTTGTCTCCGCTAAGTTATCTTCTTCGGTTTACATGACAGTATTTTGAAAGTTAATTTGAGAAGTGAACAGCATTTAGTAGTATCATGACTGAGGCCTAAGGTGGATTGTGCAATGATGCCTATTTTACTTTTGGGAAATTTTGTGTTTTCTTTTAAATTTTTTTTTTTTGGAGTGAAGGGTGGTCGAAGACTTTCGAAACCAATTCAAAGCATGCATAGAGACCTTCATCGTTGGCAGGGGCAGAGCCCAAAGTAATTTGTCGCTTTAGGAGCCAATTTTAACAATAATAAAATTAAACAATTTAAATTAAATATAAATGTAAATTTTTTTAATTGGGGGGGGGGGGGGGGAATAAATGTAAAACATAGATACTAAAAACAATACATTTACATGTATTCTCTCTTCATATTTCACAACATCTATGATATAACGATACAAATTGTAATAAATTTATCAAATCATCTCAAATAAATTTATTTAACGATTATTGATATCCCTCTCAAATTTATTTATTTTTTCAATCGGATAGCATTCCCTAAACATGGGGCTCCAAAAAATATTTCAATCCACAGTCGACCAACAGAAGTTTCTCTTTTAGGACCCTACGAGGTACATGTGTCAGCTTTCCATTTGTTTTGAAAAGTTTTGCTTTTAAACTCTCTCTCTCTCTCCTCTCGTAATACAATAGACTTTAGAGTCAAAAAGAAATCTCAGGGTCCATTCCCAAAGGAAATATGCATTAACAAAAAAAAAGGATGTATTTTATCAATTGTTTGTTAATATTGGATTGCTTAATCACATGTAACATTTTTTAATTATAATTTTTGCAATTCATTCCTAATTAAGATTGATTGTAACACGGTATTGATTTTAGTATTGTAATTGTGCGTGCAAGATCCTGCACAATATAAAAAATATTGGGACAGCTCTCTCCTCTGGTGAACTTTGAGTGAGCCAAACACACTGCTTGAAACAGCCTACAAGGAACGGTGGCAACCTGGAACGGCAAAGGAAGATCCGGGAAAGGAAGAACGATCCTGTACGTGTGAAAGGTATCTCCTGGAACAAAGGAGAACAAGTTAGAAGGGCGCCGGAGTGTTTTCCGGCGTATCCCTCCGACGGTCTAGTCAGTCTTTGAATGAGAGAGAGGAAGGAGAAACACTGATAAGGATATTTTGTAGTGGTGAGTTTGTGATTGCATACCCGCTTTGCCTTTTGGGAGGAGTATTTATACCTTAGAAGCTCATGATTTGCTGTCAGTGTGGTCAGTAGGTGATCATCAGGCATTGGTAGCGCGTGTATTGATTTGATGAGGAATGTCTTCTCTAATTGATTGCTCGGGACCTGAGCCGTCGGGACTCCGACGGTACATATGCTCCTTTCGGGAAGGATGCAATAAATGCTCTGTAATAGGAGCATTTATTGTCTTCATATCCGAACCTTACCGCATTGAATGCGGTCTCGTCAACAGAAGGTGCAATTAATTTGTTTGCTTTCCCAAGTCGCGTGTCAGCGACGGCATGCGGTTTGTCTGCTTCTGATGTGACATTATTTGCCACGCGTCCATCCCTTATTGGCTTGTGACGTCGGTATTCCAGCATGTTCTGACATTACTTGTGTTAAGACGAGGTCATGATGAATAGTCTAGACTGGCATAGGCCGATGTCCTACGTCAGTCTATTATCCGGAAGTAGAGGAAGCGTCCAGGATGGAGTGACCCTCGGCACCGAGGAAAGACTCACCTCGGGGACCGAGGGCGGTATGTTTCCGAGCTACGGTGACCGAGACACGTGTCGTTATATAATGCACCGAATATGTGATCCTATATAAGAGGTACCTCGGGGGAGAGGACACTTTTTGCCGATGGTGCTTGAATCCGAGCAACATTGCCTGGAACCCCCGAGGACACGTGTCTTCATCATAGGGCTTTTCAGAAGAGTTCCATCAGTAATGTTATCCATATAAATAGAAAGTTGATTTTTGAACTTGAAATTTTTATTCATAAATTGTTTATTTTCTATGATGTGTGACATAGAGCATAATAAATCTTTATATTCCATGCTTTAATTAAAATACATAGAACATATAATACATATATAATAAAGTAAAATACAATTCAAATCTCAAAAGATAAACAAAATGACTTTTGCTTTTCGTGGTTGAGATTTTTTTAAATTTTATCTTAAAGTTAATCCAACAGTTAATATTAACACCATAAATTTAATAGTAAAAATAGGCCATAAAGTATGTTTGAGATAATTTTTAAAAGTGTTTATAGAACTTATAATTTCTTATACGTACTTTAAAAAAAAGGGTTCGGACTGCCCCATCACCACCATTACTCCACCACCCCGATCACCCCACCCCATCACTATGACCACCACCAGAATCAATACCATCGTTGCCGCCTGCCGTTACACTACCACCACTTATGTCACAACAACCACCACCACACCCACTACCCTACAACCGCTACAGCCACCCTACCAACACCCGTACCGCCATATCACCGTTACCGCCACCCTACCAATACCCGTACCATCCCACCACTACCACCACCACCACCACCGCTGTTGCTACCTTACCCTACCGCCACCATCTCACCATCATCCCTATTACCACCACCCCCACCACCATACCACCCTCATCATCATTGTCACCCACGGCTACCATCATCACAATCAATCGTCGTCACCCATCAAAACCATCACCATCTTCCACCACTATCATTGTCGTCCACCACCACTTGTCCCAACTACAATAGGATATTTAAATTTCTTTCTCTTTCCTTTATTTTTGTAATTTTATTTTGAGTATAAATACAAATATGTTTATTATTAATTTTTTTTTATTATTACGTGTTTTCATGTATGAGAAATAAGTAGTTATTTAATAGTATTACAATAAATTTTAATAGAACCCCATTTACAATTTTCGCGTAAGACCCCATTTCGATTGGGCCGCCCCTGGGTACCATACCATTATCCCATGTGCAATATGAACAGCTGCGTGGAAACATTCCACTTTTTTGGTCATGCTTGTTATAATTTAGCTATGGAGTAAAGGATGTGCCTTTTCTAGGATGTGGGTGCTCATTCATGTTGTGGTCTAAAGGCATAATGAGAGCATAGAGGCAGAATTCAAGGCACCTTATTATGAGCAAACCTCTTGCAGAGGCTGTAATTATCCCCAAATATATTCTACTCATTCGTTTGCTTTTTGTAAACAGATCTGGGAATTGGTTCAAGATTGTGACGAAATTCATATATTTGTTCAAACTAAACTCGTTAAAATTTTATAAATTCTGGCTTGATTGATAAAACCAAAGGAACTCGAGCTTGTGTTGGTTCATATCCGTGTTAATCATGTTCAAATATTAGACTTTATTTGTTCATATATCATAGAAATGCCAAAATAAGGATTAGGATGAGACCAATCATTATCTCTCAGTAACTTCCCATAAGATCTGTGATACTTGATTAATAAGGATGTGGTCTTATCCTAAGAGCATCTTTAAGTGGAGATTATAAATGCTATATATGCTGAATTTAAACTTGAAGGTTTAAGTGGTAATTTGAGATATCATATGTGACATTTTTACCTTGCACTCCAATGGATATGTCAAAATAATTTATTTTATTCAATCTTTATGTTTAAATCTCTTTCCTTATATTAATTTAATAAATGCATTTAAAACAAATTTTGGAATCAATTAAAATAAATATTATTATAAAAATATATTTTAAAATATTATAAATTTTATATGAAAAGTAGTATATATTTTGTTGAAACTAAAATTCTCACTAAACTTAGCTAATACAAATTTAAACGACAATTAAAAATATAATTCCAAAATAAAAATTCTAATACTACGTAAAATAAATTGCATTAAATACCCAACAACTCCATAAAATAATGTATTAAAAAGATTTGACCCAAATTTGTTTTTGTCTAGTTAGCAATTGATATGTAGGTTGGAGAAGTCTTGCATGCCAAAAAGAGCTGTTGGAGCCTCCACTTTGCAGTTGGCATACCGGTTGACGATGCCATGACAGAGTATCTACGTTGGGACTAGGTATTAATATAAAGAATAAATTTCTCATGGCCTTATCCCATGATTTGCGAAGATTAGAACTTATGACGTTTAAGTTTAGAGCTTGCCCCTATTACCACTTAAGCTATCTTTTTGATTGTTATACAGCTTTGTGTTGGTTCTGGTTTGAAGATCTGTTGGATTGTTTTGAGAGAGAGAACTTAGTAGAAACATTTTCTTTGAGTCACGAGGATCTTATTTGATCTCTAACTTTAACCAAAATCTTTGTCACCTCCTCAAAACAAACTCACAAAAAATGGACAAATCCAACTCATAATTTTTGCCTAATAATGATTAATATCATTTACTTTTAAGGGGTTGCTAAACATGCCTCCTGACCTGCAAATGTTCAGCTTTATAGCAACCCAACTCTCCCAGACAGTTATGCCACTTTGCCCATTACTTACAAGACTTCTCTCCTTAAATTCTCCCACTTGCTCTTCAGTATCTTCATTCATCCATTTACCCTTCTCTCTCTCTCCCTCTCTCTCTTCTTGGGTGAGTTTCTGGTGGAGGAATGGGGCTTTCAGGATCTGTTTTGGGTTTCATTCTAGTTGTTGCTGTGAGTTTCTTCTGTGTGGCTCATGGGGACCCTCTTGTTCCTGCATTGTGCATCTTTGGGGACTCTGTGGTTGATGTAGGAAACAACAACAATCTCCAGACACTTATCAAAGCAAACTTCCTCCCTTATGGTAGAGACTTTGTCACCCACAGACCTACGGGGAGGTTCTGTAATGGCAAGTTAGCCACAGACTTCGCTGGTAATATTCATCATGAACCCCCTCCATCTTCCTCCTCTTCCCCTCTTTCTAGTTGGAAAGTATTATACATGTAAGACTATCGTACCAAGTTCAATAATGTACCAAAATTTACGATGATACCAGGGGTGGTTCAATACAATTAGAGGCCTAAAACAGCCAATATGAATGAGGTCTTTTAGTTTTCGAAACTTATTTTATGTAAATTTTATTTTATTTTTTATTTAGATGATTTTTTTTTATTATATTTTTGTATTAAGTTTTGCTAACATGTCTTTTTTGATTGATATAAAATGAATAATTGGCTTAATATTTCTTCGACATTGTTGAACTTTTGAAAAATTTTATTAATTTTAATTTTGAAAAGCTTGTATTTATAGAAATATTGTTGTAGAATGTTAATAATTATATTTGCAAAAAGAATGCATTTGAAAAGAATCAAGTATTTCTATATAATTAAGACAATAGTTTTTAAATTTCTATCGTCTAATGAGTTTAAGTTTTTAAATTAAATATAAAATCTTTAAATTCTTAAACTCAATATTTATATAGTAGATTATGTTGTCTCGTCCTTAATGTTTTTATTGGGTAAGGGGGAGGGGGTAATTGGGACCTATGGGAGTGACTTGATGCGTAATTGATTTTTTTTAGTATTGACATTATATGGGGTTTTTTTCTTCCATTTGGGGCTTAGTTTTATGGGTTGAATTTTTAGGCTATTGATCATATTGAGAGACCTATGAAATTTAGGGTCTCATTCAAAGATAGGGCCTAAAGGCCATGCTTCAATTGTTATAATATTAAGCTGGCACTGGATGATACAAAGGCTAGTCAAATTGTGACACTCTAAAATTCGGGGATCTTCTCTTAACTCGTTGATCATCTATGAATTCTCAAAATAACCATGAATGCCATATAACCCAATGCTATGTCATTGCAGCCCATTCACCGGGATCATAACAAAATGAAATTCGGGTAGAACCTCCCATGCATGAGAGTTCTACCCAATACACCACATGTGCATATATTATTCATACGACCATTTCAGAGTCTACATTCCAAAGTTTAGAATTTAAAATTTAGCCAATCATATAGTTCGAAGAAAAAAAACTCAAAATTTGAAAGCTCAGAAGTGTTTAGTTTAAAAATCAAATTTAGGTAATAGGTACCGGTACCTCACTACTAGCAGGGCTAGATACCGATACTAAGGCTTACAAATACTGGTCCCTCCTTCATTCTTGAATTTAAACAGTCTCAGGTACCGGTCCCAAATATCGATACCTGACTTTCAAAGGGCTCAAGTACTGTAAGTCATTTGAGTTAAAGTTATTACTCAAAAATGTCAGTTATAACCCATTAATGTCAAGGTACAAGTCCAATTAAATTTGGATTGATTCCTAAAATATTATGATTGATTCTATATGTTAGCATTAATCCTAAAATGATAGGATCGAGACCAAAAAACCCTTTTTTTTTATCACAACTATACAAAATTGAATTGCAATATCACCCTTATTTTGTAGTAATTATTAATAATTATTATTATTACGTTCAGGTTTTTGAAGTACACACAAATGAAAAAAACTACACACTTCTCTGTCTCTCTCTCACACACATGATGTGTCGTTTCCTTTCCTTGTGGCAGCTGAGTATCTTGGGTTCGCCTCATACCCACCAGCTTATCTTAGCCAAGATGCCAAAGGAAAGATCCTCTTGACTGGTGCCAATTTTGCCTCAGCATCTTCTGGTTTTTATAATAAGACTGCCAAGTTATATGTAAACCCTTCTCTCTCTCTCTCTCACACACACACACATTATTGTTGACTCTCAGAAAGTAATAACTAAAAAGCTTGAACATTTGTTGTTTGGTGTTCTCAGGGTGCCATTACATTGGCCCAACAAGTAGAATATTACAAAGAGTGGCAAAACAAAGTGGTGGAGATGGTAGGGAAAGCGAGAGCTAACGCCATATTCTCGGGTTCAATCCACCTCCTGAGTGCAGGGAGCAGTGACTTCGTTCAGAATTACTACATCAATCCATTGCTCAACATATTCTACTCACCCGATCGCTTCTCGGACATTCTCGTGCAGTCCTACTCTACTTTTGTACAGGTTTTCCTCTTGCATAATCTTTATCAAGTCACACAACTTTTTCCATACTCATAGAGAAACGTCCAAACTTATCTTGTTCTCCACCAACATCCCTCGTTTATGAATGAGTACATATCCAAATTTCAACCACGAAACACTCGAGCAGTTCTATTGTTCATTGTGAAAATGATACAGGACCTTGATATGAAGCTTGACTATAAACAAATCTAGTGAATGCCTTCTCTCAAACACACGTTGTGTACTTAACATCAGCAACATTGCTATGTGACAGAATCTGTACGGGCTGGGAGTTAGGAAGATCGGAGTTACAACTCTACCACCAACTGGATGTTTGCCTGCAGCAATCACTTTATTCGGTTCAGGTAGCAACCGGTGTGTTGTCAGGCTGAACGGCGATGCCATTTCGTTTAACAATAAGCTAAATAGCACATCCCAAGATTTGCAGAGCAGGCATCCTGGTCTGAAACTTCACAGTCTTTGATATCTACCAGCCTCTCTTGGGTCTGATAACAAAGCCCACTGATAATGGTAATGTCCACCAATTTTCAAACAATAAGTAGCCAATCCATGCATCCTGCCATAAATTAATATATTCATCATCAAAATATAAAACCATCCTTAGAACCCATGAGATGATTCTACTGCACTGGTGGGTAATTAAAAACAACAAAATGAGATCTTTGGAAAGGTGGTGCATTAGAAATACGATGCACTTCCACTACACATGCACACACAAACACATGATTGAAGAATTGAGCTTCTTTTTGGGTGTTTGAAAACAATAGAAACTGATAAAAAATTCTCATGTGAAATTGTCACTATGCCAGGATTCTTTGAATCAAGGAAGGGTTGCTGTGGGACTGGTACACTAGAAACATCCGTGCTTTGCAATGAAAGGTCTATAGGGACATGTTCAAATGCTACAGGGTATGTGTTTTGGGATGGATTCCATCCTTCTGAATCGGCTAACCAAATACTCGCACAAGATCTACTTGAAAAAGGAGTCTCCCTGATCTCTTAATGCCTACCGCAGTTAAAGCAATAATTTTAGTTTCCATCTGATGAACTACTTATTATACTGTTAGAACAAAATATGTACGTGCTTTGGTTGGTATATGCTGTTAGAGTTAAATGGTAGGTTTTCCATTGTACGGTATGTGCAAACTCAGGTAAAGATGGTCAGATTAAGTTTATCCTATATGAAAAAAATCTCTGCGGCAATCTTAGCTTGTACGAATAAGAAAATAAATACTGCATTATTAATAGTGTTTTCCATTGCTACATTTACATAGCGTCAAAAAGTCTGACTCTTGTGCAAAGATTTCAAAACAAATTCCACGGATAGCCCAATATGAATTGAATGCATGTCGGGGCATAGTACAAATGTTTTGGAATATTTACCTAGTCACAACTCAGGTCGAAATGGAAAGAAAGAGACATGCAAAGCTTGAATGTTAATCTGACCAGTTCCCTTCTGAACATGCATTGTTCCCCACCATTTACAGATATTCTGGAAGATCTTTTACCCAGTAATTCTGAGTTTCTGCCAATATAATTTCAACTGTTTTTCCGCCCAAAATTTTCAGATTTTGAAAACAAGAGATAATTTTGACTGTCTTATAGTATCAACCACAGAAGTGAAGCTTTTGACAATGAGAAAAAATTATACAAATGATACCTACGCTACTGGAAGGCCAATCCATGAAGATATATCAAGAATGAGATTTCTTCTCATTAACTGGATCAAAATCTTCAATAATCTCACTATGTAATAAGACATGATAGCAACACATAACAAAACAAAGAAGGTTTACCTCAAGCAATATATTGCGAGAAATCTCTAAGAAAGCTCAAACCCTGCATTGCAATTGATAGCATAAAGAAGTTTTGCTCTCATAGTGCTTGCACGTTTGTATGTGGGAAGCTGTATCCAATAAACAGGGCAAATGTACATGATTTATGAATCAGTGATCAATATATATTTTAAAGTATAAATAAATAAATTACACCCTCTCTAACAACTTATGCTTTTGGAGTAAATGGTTGTTTAACATTGTATCAGACCAGAAAGTCATATGTTTGAATCTCGTCGTCACCTTAATTATTACAAGATTTTCATGTGCTAGACTCAAAATCTAGCCTGCACGTAAGGGACGTATTGAAGTACAAAAACTTAAATTATACCCTCTTTAACAGCTTAAGTTTTGGAGTAGATGATTGTTCAACAATATATATGGTCTGCAAGTTTTTTTTTTCTTTGCGTTTGCAGCTTAGCCACCTAATAACAGTACCTTGTGAAGCATAAATATTTAAATTACACTCTCTAACAGCTTAAGTTTTTAGAGTCGATAGTTGTTTAACAATATATATGGTCTGCAAGTTTTATTTTAATCTGCGTTTGCAGCTTAGTCAACTAATAACAATACCTTGAGAGTGTTGTAGCATGTAGAAGCTGAAGGAAGCCGCTCCACATCTTGTCCTCCAAATGTTGCCCAAAGAGGCACATCGCATGAAACCTATACATTCCATTCATTAAAAGGATTAGGATTGGTATTTCTTTTCTGATTCTGGTAAAGGAGGGAAGGGGATATAGAAAAGACAGATAACTTGGCCAAGCCATTTAATCAACTGATAATAACTGGAAATGGAATGTAGATGGGATGTCGTAAGATACTAAAATTATATATACAGAGGGGGAATGATTTACAACATAGGGAGAAGGAAAAAGGAAACTCAAGTATTTTGCTAGGAGCACGGTCTGGAACTCGCAGTGAACTACAATGTATTAGACAGTATTTGTTGATTGCGAATTAAATGATGGTGGGATTTTTTTTTTTTGATTTTTTGTCGTCTTTTAGTTTTAGGAGTCAAGGATATTTTGGGCTTAGATTACAAGATGATTCTGTGGTTTTGTTTCATGGGTCAGCACTTTAGGTCATTATGGATTTTAGGTTTTATTTAGGGGTCATATTAAGAAAAGAGGGACTGTATTAGGGAATACAAGACAATCTTGGATAGATGAATAAAATCAAAGATTAAATAGGGGATAAAGATGATACCAATTTTAGTCAAGCGTTTGTTAAGTACAGTATTAAGAGTTGGACAATAAGTATCAAGTCCAATATAATGTTTGGTTAGATAATTTATTCAATGGTATAAATGAGTGGACTAAAATGCCCTCAATTATCTCCAACTTGATCCCTTATGGTAATCCAACATTTCGTAATATTTATTATGAATATTTTTAAATAATATTAGAATTAAACAAGCATGCTTTAATTGTGTAAAAGTGTGTTTTGGACATATATTTATTTATTATTAATGTCGTTTATCATTATACATGTAAACGACGAATGAAGTATATCTTTTATAGGTTGTCCAAATGAGAGGGACGTCGGGTCATTGTAAAAAAATTAAGGGCGGATTTGTTATGAAGACAGGATGTCTATATAATTTTTATTAAAATAAATAAAAAGGAATAATCGCATGAATTTTTCTTAGATTGAGCGTAAAATTATAAAATAACAATAAATACATCTAGTCTATATTATAATACCACCTTTCCTGGTGATATTAAAATAGTTCAGTAGTACAGATAAATTGCATTAGAATTATCCGTATGTGAGACTTATCTAGTTAATCCCATATATAATATGAAGTTATTTTTTGTATCCAAATGTAGTATAAACCCATCTTAAAACGTTTTAATCAAATATGACTTTTTAATACACCCTATAATACAACAATCAAACGACCCTTTGGAGTTTTATGTTTTCTAGAATTTATTATTAAGTAAAAAATTTAGTATTTTTCTGAAACAACGAGTCATAATTGCTATAGAATTAAGATAGTCTATTAGTATCTAAATATCTGTGTAGCCTTCCAATTTAACAATGAACCAATTGTTTCAACCCAAAAAACTTTATAAGGCCTAACCTTTTCTAACAATTAAAGATTCAACCCTAGCAACACAAATAGTCAAAAAACTGGTCTTGGACATTGTGTCATAGACCCAGAACAGAGAAAATATTCATTGTAACAAGTAACAAGTCATCACTGCCGCATGGTGTCACCATCCAGAAAAAAAAAAAGTAACAAGCGAATCCAACACAATTTAATAACCACCCCCTCCATGTAACATAATAACCACCTCATAGGGGATAAAGATAATACCAATTTTAGTTAAGCGTTTGTTAAGTACGGTATTAAGAGTTGGACAATAAGTATCAAGTCCAATATAATGTTTGATTAGATAATTTATTCAATGGTATGAAATGAGTGGACTAAAATGCCCTCAATTATCTCCGACTTGATCCCTTATGGTAGTCCAACATTTCGTAATATTTATTATGAATATTTTTAAATAATATTAGAATTAAACAAGCATGCTTTAATTGTGTAAAAGTATGTTTTGGACATATATTTATTTATTATTAATGTCGTTTATCATTATCCATGTAAACGACGAATGAAGTATATCTTTTATAGGTTGTTCAAATGAGAGGGACGTCAGGTCATTGTAAAAAAATTAAGGGCCGATTTGTTATGAAGACAGGATGTCTATATAATTTTTATTAAAATAAATAAAAAGGAATAATCGCATGAATTTTTCTTAGATTGAGCGTAAAATTGTAAAATAACAATAAATACATCTAGTCTGTATTATAATACCACCTTTCCTGGTGGTATTAAAATAGCTCAATAGTACGGATAAATTGCATTAGAATTATCCGTATGTGAGACTTATCTAGTTAATCCCATATATAATATGAAGTTATTTTTTGTATCCAAATGTATTATAAACTCATATTAAAACGTTTTAATCAAATATGACTCTTTAATACACCCTATAATACAACAACCAAACGACCCTTTGGAGTTTTATGTTTTCTAGAATTTATTATTAAGTAAAAAATTCAGTATTTTTCTGAAAGAACGAGTCATAATTGCTATAGAATTAAGATAGTCTATTAGTATATAAATATCTGTGTAGCCTTCCAATTTAACAATGAACCAATCGTTTCAACCCAAAAAACTTTATAGGGCCTAACCTTTTCTAATAATTAAAGATTCAACCCTAGCAGTACAAATAGTCAAAACACTGGTCTTGGACACTGTTTCATAGACCCAGAACAGAGAAAATATTCATTGTAACAAGTAACAAGTCATCATTGCCGCGTGGTGTCACCATCCAGAAAAAAAAAAAGTAACAAGTGAATCCAACACAATTTAATAACCACCCCCTCCATGTAACATAATAACTACCTCATATCTAGAAGCAGGGTCCATTTAGTCAATTTCATATTGGATGGTGACATCTCGTGACGATAATGACTCGGTGTCAAATTTACATTGAATATTTACCCGAATAGCCCTCTTTGAGCCCCAAAACCTATCCATTGTAATTCCCAACCAACCTAACCCATTTGCCCAAATCTCAGATTGTTAGTCATAAAATTAGCTCCAAGTTTTAGAATGTTAGTCAAAAAAATGAAACATATGACCCTATTTGATTTGCGTCTCAAAAAATAATATTCAAAAATTATTTTTGGGAAGAGTTTAAGAAAACTGTTTTTGGTATTTTTTTGTGTTGCAGAACTTGTTTGGTTATATGATTCCAAAAGTAATTCTATAGAATAAAAAACAATAAAACTTGTTTGAATAGTAATCCGGAAAACAATAAAAAAAAAGTGGTAGTAAGTGGAAATGTGACAGTGATGGTGTGGTGGAATGCTGTTGGTGGTGAAAGTGTAGTGGTGATGGAAGTGTGGCGGTGGTGGTGTTGGTGGAAGGGTGGTGGAAGTACGGTGGTGGGCGTGGAGGTGGAAGTGTGATGGTGGTGTTTTCTAAATTCTGAAAAGGTTATTTCCAAAAATATACAAAACAACTTAAATTTGTTCTCTAAATTTAGTCAGTTTTTATTTTCAATTTTCAAAAAACAAAAATAAAAAATAATTGGTCAAACAATTTTTCTCCTAGAATGTTTCTAAAAACAGAAAATAGTTTCTGAGATGCAAACCA